CCCCCCCCGTGTTTGCAAAGCTGCAGTTAAACATCATCATCAAGGCCTCTCGGGGGGAGAGAGTCTGCGAACAACTGTTAGGTTTTTCCCAATTCTTCCCAAAGCCCGTAGCAGCCGGTATGTCAGCCCAACGGGTGGCTGTAACCCCTCCCGGGGTGTTGTCTGGTGTGTATTTCCCCTCAGCGCCGAGCGAAAGGGACGGGGGCGCGGAAACGGGACCGCGAGGGGGGCCCGAGGCGCTTTGTCGGGAGGTGAGGAAACCTCTCAGGCGGGACCACGGGCGGTGCTTGTATCTCCCAGGCCTGGGGGTGGCAAGGGCCCTGTTTTCCGTGGAACCGAGCCCCCGTTTCTGCTTTGTGGTTCCGTCCCCTGGTCTCCTTCCTGTGCGTCTGTTCGGCCCTGAGACTCGCCCTCCGTTGTCTGATTAGGAGAGAATGTGTTTGGTGCGTGGACGTGATTTTCAGTCTCATCAGGGTGGCGGTTCTGCATCTCTGTGCATGAAAAGGCCGCCCGGGAGAAAGGTCATCGATGGCACGGCCCAGGTCGGGATCCTGGCTTTGCCACTTGCTAGGGGCGTGACCTCGGGCAGCGGGCCTGCCTTTGCCACCGGGCCCGATCCGTCCGTGGAACAGCGATGAGCGATCTGAGTGTATCGAGTTCTCAGAATAGCGCTGGCCCGTCCTGGGCATTCTGTCCGCGTCGGTGCTCTGCTGTCCTCGGGGACATTGGCCCCGGGGGGCCTCGGGACTGGACGTCCAGGGGCCTTCACCCTTCTTTCCTGGGGGACCTCGATCAGCAGGGGTCACCCCGCCACACGCTGACCATTGTAAAGGGCCCTGACCGCTTATCAGCGTGAACCCGCCCTCTAAGGAGCCGAATGCGAGAGCTCCCGTTGTGCCTTCGCGGCGAGTCGTTCGTAACGTCCACTCGGGTTGACCCCGGAGGGCACCGGGAGGACCCACGTAGGCTTCAGCGGAGCACTTGGGACGCGGGTGTGCCCGGGAGAACACGCCACCTTATTCCCGCCCTCGCCTGGGCCCCTCTGTGACACTGTTCATTACTTTTTCCGACAGAAGGCACTTTGCTTTTTTCTTTAAGGTTAAAAGCGAGAGTTTGAAAAGTCATCCGTGTAGAAAGGGGGCCGGCGAGCTGGCTGTCGGGGCCACATGGGTGCCTTCAGCCCGTCGGGCTGTGCGGAGGGCGTGGAGGGAGTTCACGCGGCTTGGCCGACCCCTCGAACCCGGGGGGTGTCCCGAAGCTCCCGGAGAGTGTGACCCCGCTTAGACCAACCCCGTTCTATGTCCCTCTGGTCCAGACGCGGGAGGTAGCCGGGCGAGGCCCGCGATTGTTAAACAGCGGCGTTGGGATGCCTCCTGGTGGTGCCGCGAGTGCTCTGATTCAGGGATTTAACACCCGTGTTGACTGCGAGGACTTACCCTGGACGAACCACTGAAGCCCGTGTGACGCACGGAAACCCCTCGAGGCGAGCCTCCTACGTGGAGTAAAAATCTGCTGCTTTTCACATGCAGTGGATTAAAAATCTGACTGGAAACCTATATAATACACACGATAAAGACGAATATACTTCTCATAAAAATGTTTATGTTTTTGGTTCGGGTTAGATTATTTTAATTAATTTTTAAAATTCAGTAGAACTGTTTTGCACTTGAATATGGACAGTGTTGCTGTTAAGATTGAATTGAGAGGGAAAGGGGGTCGGGGCAGGTAGGAGAATGGGACCCGGAGACCTTGGGGTGGGGAACACTCGGCACCACATACAGATGACGCGTCGCAGAGTCATGCCCCTGAAACCTGTGTAATCTCATTAACCAGTGTTACCCCGATAAAGTCAATAATAAAGACTGAATTGCTTTGTATACGTTTATTTTTAAAAATTAACTTGATTACGATGTGTACATTTAATTTCTTATATAATGAGACAGAGGTGATGGTTGATAGGAAGCCTGTGGTTCATTTCCACGTGGTTTTATTTCTCAATTCTGATCTCCAGGGTGGATAAAGTGATTTAATTAGTAACCTTGAAATGCAGACGGTAGCAACACCTTACGAGGGTGAGCGATGCGGGTTCAGTTACCGCTCTAAACGCTAAAATAATAACATTACGCCTACAGAAATGTAATTTAAAACGTATAGAAAATCACCTGCAAAGAATTCTGATACGGGTCCTTGGGATGGAAGGGGGGGGGCGGAGAAAAAAAAGGGATACGTTTTTACGGGGCATTCAAACTATTTAATTAACCGCTTGCCCAATCAAAATAATTAAAATGGCAATTACCTTTAAAACAGCAACAGCGTCATTGCAGCTGTTGGGATCTACAGCTGGGAGACGAAATGCTAATCTGGGATGAAGAGCTGAGACGGGAAATGATGATATACTTGGCTTCCCGCAGCCCAGCTGTCAGGCCCCGGCGGCTGCTGGTCAACGGTGACATCCTCTGTGTCAGCGAGCAGAGTCTCCCGGCACCGGCACCCGCGGCTCGCGTGCGCCGAGGCTCCAACTGTCGAGCCGCCGGGTCCCCCGGCGCCCGCGCAGCTCGCGGCCTCTCCTGTCTGACTCGTGTTTCGTTCTCTGGCAATTTGCCCTAATGATATCCCCCAGGAGCTCCCTGCCTCCCTTCCTTTCCATATTTAATCGCGGCGTGTTAATCTGAGCGGTGCCCGAGCCGTGCCGGCCGAACTCACATTTCCTACCGCCCGCGTCCCCCCCCACGCGCGGTGCTCGCCCGATCGGCCGGCCTTGGTTCTCTTGACCTTCGAGGTTTCGGCCCCAGACACTGTTTTCAGGGAACTGTCCACCCGAGGCGCCCAATAAACCACTCTAGCTGTATT